GGGGGGGGGCCGACGGCGCCGCGCGCGTTGGTCAGAAAAAGAGGGCGGCCCACGAGTTGGTCAAAAGTGAAGCCGGCGCGGACTTGGTTGAGGCGGATCGTCGCCGACGGCGCGAGTCCCCCGGCCGCGGAGCAGGCTCCGGGGGGCGCGGGGGGGGCGGGAAGCGCTCCACGGTGTGGCCGGCGCGGCAGCACCGCCAGCGCGGCGGGCGCGACGATCCATCTCGTGGACTTGTCAGCATTGGCGGCGGTGACCATGAGGCTGCGCGACGCGCGGGGACGACCCGTCGGTCAGTTTCACGTGCGCGCAGCGCGGGGGGGGGCGCGCGCAGGGAGGGCGCGCGGCGCGGGAGGCCTGGGAGGCGCAGGAGGTGCACACAGGAGGGACGCAAAGTGGTGATGCCTGTTTTTCTGGGCAGCGACAGGGCACCACGGTGCTCAAGGGTCCGTCAAGAGGGCTGGTTATGTACCGGTAGAGGTGCGGGGATCACGCAATTCCCCCCGCTAACCGAAATACTTCAATGGAAGCTGCAGAGAAACAACCAAGCCTGAGCTAACAAGGTAAGAGGGAGATAGTGGACCGACGGACGTACGGACACATGTGTAAGAGCGCGCACGAGTGGGTGTGCGAGCAATATCGAAAGACGGCGAGGCCGGGATCGCACACGGCAGGCAGGGGTGGCGGGACGGTTGTGGAGCGAAGTGGCTGTAGCCAGCCTCAAGCATCGATGGGCCAAGCTTGGGCTAGTGTGGAGGTGCTGGGGATCACGCATCCAACAAACTCGGACCTTTCCCCCGCCCGCTAACCGAAAGCCTGAGTTAACAAGGTAAGTGCAATGATCTTTGAACGTTCAGAACACCGGCCCGCCTGAGGCGCTGAGTGAGACCCGCAGGACACCGCGAGGGAGGGCACAGGGGGGGCAGGGTAGCAAACAGCCCTTATATGCAATACGGGACAGCCACCCACTCAAAGCACTCACCACACGATTATGCCGCCTCCTAGTCCTCATCCTCTTCAAAGCCGACAATGGCTTCGTCCGCCGCCATTTTCTCCGCCGTGCGGTCGAGGCGAGGGACCGCGAGTGTTGCAATACTTTGAGTTTTACAGGCGGCATCAATTTTTCTTCTGGCTTGGCAACAGAGAGCGGGGCGATTCACCTGATCAGCAGCTTTTCCCCGCCACGAGATGGACAAAAACAAAGGCGAGATGGCTTGAGTGACTGGCTAGAGACGACGACGACGATACAGTTCATGAACTGAGGAGAAGCGGGTCGAGCCTCGGCGCTGTTGACTTGCCGCGTGACGCCTGTTGGGTGCTTTCTAGGGGGTACAGGGTGAGAAGCCGTAGGAGCTTTGAGGAATTCTTGAAACGCCGAGACAAAAAGAATTTTCACTGCCACCAACTGAAGCGCAAGGCTTAGCATCCTTGCTTTCCCCATTTGCTCTTCCATCATGGCTGCCAGCGCGAATCAGTCAACCTACGAGCGACACGCGGTGCTAAGAAGCCGTGGCGCGCCGCCGACGCTCACCTTCATCAACGGCGTGTGGTCGCGGTGCCTCCAGGCGAGCTGCGACGCCCGCGAGTCGATCACACTGGTTTGGACGTGTCCGAGACACCACACCAGTACTCTCCGATGCCACCTCCTCGCCGCCACAGGAGCCGTGGATCAACCAGAAGCCGCACTACATCAAGCAGCCTCAGCCGGGCGAGGACGGCTGGCCGCAAGGCCTCACGTGCCTGCACGTTTTCTATGACGGCGCGGCGCAGCGCGGCGCGTTGCCCAAGCCGATTGCGTACGCTCACCAGGCGCCCTTGTCCCTCGCAGGCTCCCTCTGGCGCATCTCGTCCGACGACGATCAGGCGCCTCAGCACGCATCGCCGCCACCGCCGCCAGCCGCCTCAGCACCCAGCGTTCGCTGCCACCGCCGCCAGCCGCCTTGCTCACCCATTTCCGCCCGCCGGCCGCAGAGCGTGTTTGCGGTGGCCAACACCGACGCGGAGCATCCCAACACGGTCTCCCGCGATGACTGGCACGCGGCGCCCAGCATGCCAGACGCAGCACCCCTCCCTCGCCTCGCCTCCCACGCACCGAGCGTCTCTCTGCAGCAGCTGCGCCTGGACATTGCGGCGCGCCCGCCCTGTAGGCTGCTGCTGAGCGCGAGCAGCCGCATGCTGGAGGCGTGGCCGGACTTTGCGCTCGCGTGTGAGGGGCCCAACACGGAGGCCAAGCCCTTCCTGCTCGACGAGCTCGGCGTCGATTTCTTCCTCCGCATCCAGCTCAAGTCCCGCAAGGAGCGCCTAACACTAACACACACAGCCCTGATATAACGCTCAAGTCCGGCAAGGAGCGCCGCCAACACTACCACTCTCCCACGCCTTCGCCACCGCCGTCTGCGCCTTCTGCCGCCTGCTCCGCCGCCGACCACCGCCCCTCCCCGCTCCTCAGGTGATCTGGTTCACCGACCCGATCAGCGGCGTCGTCTTCCACTCGGCTGCAAAGTCGACCTCGGCGCAAGGCGGTCGGATGCAGGTGCCACGCAGTCCCCGCACCTGCCTGTCCTTCCCCGTCCCTCCCCCGCCCGCCACTCCTCTCACCCACCCCTCCCCCCTTCCTTCTCCTCCTCTTCCTCCCGCCGCCGCCGCCTCCGCCTCCACCCCCACCCCGCGCCCTGCCCACTCTGCCCACTCTGCAGCCGGGCAAGCGGTACTGCCACCTCTGCAAGAAGTGCATCTCGGCAAACAACTTCCACTCGCAGCACCTCGCGCACTTGCACCGACCCGGCCGGCCGCTCGGGCTCCTCGCGCTCCCGGACCACCGGGGCAACGTCGAGCTGCAGTGGTGCGCCGCCCTCGGCCGCACCGCCCTCGCCGCCGCCTCTAGTCCCCAACCCCTCCCCCTCCTCCCCCGCGGGGCCCTCGCCCGCCACAAAATGCCCTCCCTCCGAAAGCCCCCCCCCGGCCCCCCTCCCCCTCCCCCTCCCCCTCCTCCTTTCTCAGGAGGCCGCCCACCTCGGACGGCGGGCTGCGGCTGACCGGCTACCGCC